TTCCAGTTATTGGAATGAAAAGAAGATTCCTCCCAGAGAGTGACATGCCTGAGGCCAAGGACAGAGTGTGGCAAGAGGTTCTCACTCAGAAGAGAAGGTACTCATCAGATTCTGACAAAGACTCTTTCTTTGGCCAAACTTGAATCGGCTCCTCTGAGGTCTCTTTCTGACCAAGCTCCAACCTTGAGCTCTGTCCTTGGCCTGCTCAGTCTGGTTTTAACAGGAATCCTGCAGGGCCAGTTGAACAAAAATCCCCCCATGCTTGGTATCTGATCACCTTGGCCTGCCTCCAGAAAAGTCCTAATTGAGTTGGTCTAGCAAGCATCCCCCAGCCCTGACGTCCCCTCTTGTCATCTTCCATCCACTGACCCCACTGTGCACTTGTGCTTGTACTCAGAGTTGAGCCTGATCTCTCTCCCCTACTGCAGAACACCACGGCAGCTCCTTCGCAGTCTTCCTTACCAACCTTATCAGGGGTCATGAATAATTTTTCTTTAACGATTTCTAAGATTGTGACCACCTGCTGCCACCAGCCCAGGTCTGCCGAGCTTCACCCTGAGGCATCCCTGCCAGGACCTGTTTCACAATCCAGGATGAAAGATCCCTTCAAACCATCCCTCTAAATCAGGCCAGGACCTTTGGTCTTCCAAGTTGACCCAAAGAGAGTCCCAGATCCTCCTGCCCGTTGGGGCCAGGGAGCAGCTCAGCTGCAGCCAAGAGAAATGTCACTTTGCATTTATTATTCTTAGACTTTTTTGGCCTTGACCCCCTCTCCCCACTCAGCTGCCTTTCCCCTGCACCTGGCCTGCTGCCTATACTCTGTAACTCAGTCAACACCTGCTGAATGAGGGCGAGGATGAAGGCTCCTGCGGACAGAGAGAAACGGAAGAAACATGGTGCCCTTTGGCCCCAGACTCGGCTTCCCTGGCCGCAGCTCCAAGGAGAAAAACCACATAAACAAAGATGCTCTTGTCCAGGCCCCTCCCTCACTCCCTTCGTTGTTTTCTGCATCTGCCTGTTGGGCCGGGACGGGGGTGGGGGGGTGGGGGGGTGGAGCTCCTTTGTTCTGTTTCCCCAATTGTTGGGTGGAAACCAGAGCTACATCTTTCCTCTGCCAGTTCTCCCTCACCCTGGGGGACTTGCCAAAGCACTTGTCTGTGAGGGCCACCTCCGCTCTCGGGCCTCCTCAGAGACACGCGGGTGCAGAGGGAAGGGTGTCTGCCTGTCTTCTCACTCCCAGGCTTCTTCAGTGTCCCTGGGACCCAGACCACAGAACAGACTCGGGGCTGAAAGGACACTGGGAAACTGGGGCTAGAGTAGGAACCCCAACCCGCACCACACACCTGGGCGGAGAACGCTCTTTGCTTCTGGTCCCTGACAAGAGCAAGCTCTGGTGTGAGAAGCTGATGGGGTGGGGAGCTGCATGAGAAACCTCTGTACTTTCTGTTCAAGTTAGCTATAAACCTCAAACTGCTCTAAAAAATAAGGCTTATTTGGGGCAAAAGTAGAGCTTATTTAATCCAAGGGGGGGTGCCTTTTGTATGCCTTTTATTACTATTATTTCATTGTCCTGGTAAATCAGCGCTATGGACTGAATGTTTGTGTCCCTCAAAACCCATATGTTAAAGCCCAAAGCCCCAGTACGAGGGTATTTGGAGGTGAAGCCTTTGGCAGAGGATTGGGTTTAGGTGAAGTCATGAGGGTGGAGCCCCCATGATGGGATTAGCGTCCCTAGAAGAAGATGTGGAGACCAGAGTTCTCTCTCTCCCTCTCTGTCCCCACTCTGTGAGACCCAGCAAGAAGGACCATCTGCAAGCCAGGAAGGCAGATGTCCTCACCGGACACTGAATCTGCAGGCACCTTGATCTGGGACTTCCCAGGCTCCAGAACTATGAAAAATAAAGTTCCTGTTGCTTGAGCCCCCCAGTCTGTGGTATGCTGTCATCACCGTCCTAGCCGACCGACACAATTTTCAGTCAGCTTATTCTAATTTACAAAAGCTTTTGGTCCATGACTGATTGGAGGGGGTGGGAAATAGTCCTTCGTCCCAGATAGCCTGAGAAGCTGTGACCCGCACCAACGGCCCTGGTCCAGGAGCCGGAAGTCTGGTCACCCCACTGCTGCTTTGCTCTCGGCTCTGAGCCTCAGCTTGGTCAGCTGCAAAGTGAGGTTGTGGAGTGACTGGACCTCGCCAGCGTGGCTACTCAGTGCATGTCCGCTGCTTTTGGTAAATATGGACCCCTCTCCCAAATCTCACCATTGGACAGGGTGTCCCGAAGAAAGCAGGCCTCGGAAGAAATTCTGCTAGCCAGACACAAACACGCCCTGGCGTGTCTGCCCACAACAGTCCTACGTACGCTTGGGAGAGTCCCACCCTGGCCTCAGACACTTGGACACACAGCTTGTGTGAAAGGGTACAAGTGACAACATTAGGAAGGAGCAGCCCGAGTCCTGATCCATCCCATGACAGTCTCAGGAACTGGGGACCAGATTCTTCCTCTGCACTGGTGCAAAGGCAATGGTGACTCTGCGAGGCTTCTCCCCGGTCAGAGAGATCTTGTACTTCACCAGCGGAAGCTTGTTTCAAAGGCCCCTCATGCTAATCAGTCAACGCTCTAGTGTAATCTTGGTAACTACATTTGAGATGCTTTGTCACCACCTCAGGCCTGTGGATTCTTAAGGGACTCCAAATGCAAACGGGCTGCCCCACCTGTGTATACTCAGTTATGGATGCACGTGTACATCACGTTATAATGCTGTGTACTACACGCAGACACATAACAGGGAGATGAATAATATAATTCCCTCCCAGGGCAAACAGATATAACATGTTGTATTATAATTATATTGCAATATATAATATATATATATGTTTTTTACTTTAATATTCCTTGACGTCTGAGAAGCAAGACAGAAGTCATTTTCCTGACTTCACTGATACCTTCAGATCTTGGAAGTACATGGGACACCCCCAGGCGGCTAGATCAACTCTTCAAAGCAGAGACAGGTCCCCATTTCCTCCTGCTGGGTGTCAAGCGATACCCTCAGCCTCACGCTCCCCTTTCCTCTTCTGGTTGCTGTTGGCAAATTCCCTTCCCTCAGAATGGCCCAGACCACCTCTGTGACTGTTTCTCCAAGGCTAGAAGCAGATGCCATGGGCATGGCGGGCGCCCGCCTACCTTCCCCGAAACTTCACGGTGAGGCCCACGGTGGCAGTTGGAGGGAGGGGCACAGACTTCAGAAGAGGAGGAGGAGGGATGCAGCTAAAAACAATGCCCTCCCAGAGTGGGACAAAGCATAAACCTAGAGCGGTGAGAAAGGCCAGGCCTTCTTGCCCAGACCAGGAGGAAGGAACTTCACTGGACTCAGGAGGAGCGGACCCGGACGGGGTTACGTGGGCTACACTTAGCTTACAGAGGCCAGAGAGCCTGTGGGAGGCGGGGGCTTGTAACACACTGGAGACCCCAGCAAAGTGGGCCAAGCCCCAGTGCACAGATCCAGAGCAGACAGCTAGGGCTTCTAGAGAAATCAAGAGCGGGCTCACTCACACGGAAGAATCAGGGGTGGGCAGATAGAAGGGAGAAACTGCCACGGGGAAGCCCCACCAACCTCCTCCGCGAACACAGCGGCCAGCCCCCGGCCCGTCTCCCGCCCCCCAGCTCTCCCTGCCTTCCAGCTCTGCCTCCCCAGCCCCGGCTCTTCCCCCCCCGCCGCCCCCCAGCGCCTCCGAACACTCGTCCCCTCTTGGTTACTCAGTCCCCAGGCCCCTCCGCAATTCCCACTGCAGCCTGGCTTGCTGGCTTGCCGCCAGGCCAGTCTGCACTCCCATTAGCCACGCTAGGAGCCTTACCCAGCACTCTGTCAGAGACACAGGAAATGCCAACCCCCTGCCGCCTGGGAGGTTCTGGAGACGGGCTGCTCGCGGGGGTGCCTGGCATCTCCACCACTGAACTTCGGAGCGACCTGGGGCGTTACTGAACCTCATCATCCTTGTCTGTAAAATGGGGACTGTAAGAGCGCCCACCTCTTAGGCTGTTGGGCGGCGAGCAGAGAGTGTGGGGGCCGCTAATGGTGGCTAGAGCACAGGAGGGCCCAGCAAGGCCCTTAGCTCACAGCCTCCTACCGCAGCCTCGGCTAGTCTCCAGCAGCACGTGATCTCTTGAAATGCCAATTAAAGCCGGTACTCCCGTGGAAAACTCTTCGGGGCTACCTCATTGTTAGCAGAACAGTCCAGCCTGAGGCTCTCCCCACTGGCCTCCCCGCTGCCCCCAGGGCTCAACCCCTCCTAAGGAAAGGCCTGGCCACCTACGCCCACACAAATGTTGGACACGGAGCCCAGAGGTCCAAAGTACCCGTTTTTATTCTCAGTTGGGCCTTAGCCATCACTAGTTTTGCAAGCACGAATAAATGCAATCAACAAGAACCTCTCCCTAAACATCTTTCATTACCATTTGTCACTGAACGAGTTTCCCGTTTTTCCTAAAGACACTGTGATTTGGGGGTGACATAAAATGAAGCTTGACAAGTGCAGAACATCGGGGTTAGTCATCCTGCTTCTGGGCCCTCTGCTCCCTCGTGGAGCAGCGAGAGGCTGCGGGAGCTCTACACAGCAGTCCCAGCAGCTCTGTCCTTCCACGGAGGGAGGAATTCGGGGAGCACAAGAGCCCCAGCTGCGGAGATGGGCGAAGAATCGTCAGCCGGGGTTCTGCCCACGTGACCTGGCGGAGGCTGGAGGGAGGCTGCCTCCACGGCCTCCAGATCAGTGCCTCCGAAAGCCAAATGGGCCTGGAAGAAGCCGCTTGCCCACCCCTGAAAGTCCTCAGGCAGCAGAAGAGGAGCTGGAGAGTGAGAACAAATGTCCTCCAGAGTGCCTGCCCCCCTTCTGAGGGCTGCCCAGAGGGCACGCGGACTCCCGGCCAGGGCACTCCAAGGTCAGGAGGGATCATTCTGCCTTCGGGGTGCATCTTCCTTCCCGCCCACCCCGCTCAGGCCGAACCCCACAGGTTCACAGAACGGTCTCCCGGATGACGCCAATGAGGCTGTGGGGCCGCTCAGCCTCTGCTCGCTGGGGCCTCCTCTCGGCTCTCGGCACCCCCGCCGGGACGAAGGTGCTCAGGTCCCCGCAGCTCCGCAGGTGCAAGAAGCCAGGCTGTCTCCGCGAGGGCGGCACGTGGGTCCGGGAAGTGCTGGGCTGCAACGGGGCCATTATCTTGGGGAGAATAAGAGGGTGGGGGAGACGTTAGGCTGCACCACGACCTGCCTTCTCTATCCAGCCATGCACTGCTTAGCTTCGTTGCTTCGGAAAAGAAAATAGGGTGTTTTCCCAAAGTGGAACACACTTGGCATTCCAGATACCTTCCACAGACTGCCTCTTTCCTAACGTTCCTCAGACATTCCCCCAATTTGCTATTGTTTCAGGTGCCGACCTGCCTCACGTCACTTCCCTGATTCGTCCGTGGCAGATGATTTTACACTTTTGCTTTACACTTAACATTCTTCTCGTCATTTTTACCCAGTTTGCCTGGGGTCTGAGACAGTGCTTCTCACCGGGGTCTGCAGGTTTCTGGAGGGGAGGGGACCTGCTACCGAGGATCCCCTGCTCCCCCACAGCGATTGTGACAGGCGGGGCTGCAACGTCTGTAGTTCTAACAAGAACCCAGGTGATACCAGTGTTCTTGAAAGGTTGATAACCACCTGTGGGGCACTGTGACCAGCTAACGAGTTTTAAAATGTCACCCCAAACCAGTGATGCTTCCAGTTAATCTGATAACCCTTCGATAACAAAGCATAATAGGCAACATAAAAACTCGGCCATTTTTATTTGTAAAAAATGCTTAAGAATGGTTCTACCGCTAGATCTGTTTTACAATGTAGCATATATGTAACTTGAAATATATAATAATATCACTTACTTTGTAAAATGGCAAACGTTTGGGAGACCCCTCATCCGGCTGGGACCGAGGAGGGGAGAACTCTCTAGTACATACAATTTCCAGAAGTTGCCCAGTCATGCTCTAGGACCTACAACATTGTTAGCACCTTGAGAAAAACCCAGGCGTTTCATGACCCCGTAACATCACAGAACAATCACTGGGCTGACTTTTTGTTTAGTTTGTACTATTCTGAGATTTTAAAGGCCTCAGAAGGTTAATCCCTCCAAGAGACGGGACGTTAAATTTTGCTAACACACTGTTATTATATTTGTCTTTAAAGCCCTGTCGTTTCCTGGTTAAAAAGAAAATTCCAACATTCATAGATGTCAACTGCTGTGACATGTAAGTTGGGGCAAGTGGTTTTGATAGGAAGAAACATTAAGATGGATCTAAAACCTATTTGAGTCATACTAGGAAAAGTGAAAATGTGCAAAGCTGGGTAGAGTCGGGAATAAAGACTCCTTCCTCTTGTCTCTCCCTCCTTTTCTCTGGGGAGGATGTCACACTGGGCCTCGCCACTGGGGTCCAATCCCAGAAGGCGCCAGGAGATGGCCCAGAGTCCACTGCAACAATCCCAGTACCTGCAGTTTTATCCAGAGTCAGCACAAAGACCCAGCCAACATCTGCAGTGAGAGCATCTGTTGAACTCTAAGTGCTTGGTCATTTTCCCCAAAGCTATTTTCCAGGGAAGACTGAGCAGAAGATCCAGACCAATGGCTTGGCAGATACTCCAACTCTGACCTCACTACAGCTTGGCAGCCTCTGACAAGCGGCTCCAAATACTTGCTCTGTGTATCGGGCTATTGGGGCCAGACGGAGGAAGGAGGCAGGGAATGACTTCTGGAGGAGGCCAGGGTTAGGAGGATGCAAGTATCTCCCCTACACAGATGCTAAGTAGAGCGTGACCCAAGACCACCAGCCGACCGCTCTTTTAAGAAAGCAGACACCAAGAGGGTCCGCGGTTCATGTACCTCTTCACGCGAGTCATCACATTGCTCTTCTGTTCCCCTGGGTCACCTGAGGGGCTGGGAGAGAAATTGGCTTCTGGCTTTTGTCAGAGGAGGCCAGCAGGTAGAAAGGGAAATGGAAAGGAAAGTGAGAAGGAACTTACTCAATCGGCCTTAACTCACCCAGGACCCTGCAGCCCAATGTACGTGTTACTGCCCACAGACGCGGGCGGGTCACACTGTGAGCCACTGTGCTCCGACATCACAGAAACCACCCCACAGTCAAGGGCAACAGAGCAAATGCCTAAAAAGTAACAACTTTTTAAAAAATTTATTCATTTATTTGAGAGAGAAAGCACAAGGGGATGGGCAGAAGGAGAGGGAGAGAGAGAGAATCTCAGGCAGACTATAAGTTGAGTGTGGAGCCCTACGCACGGCTTGATCCCGGGACCCTGAGATCATGACCTGAGCTGAAATCAGGAGTCGGATGCTTAACTGACTGAGCTCCCCAGGTGACCCTGGCAGCGGCTTTTAAAAGAGGTGGGTAATTACAGCTGTGACCCATCCCCAGTTCTCAGCAGAAGGAAAGCCCATTCAGAGGTCCAGGTGTTAAGACCACCTAGTCTAACACTTCACTTTAAAAATGAGAAAACTGGGGCACCTGGGTGGTTCAGTCGGTTAAGCATCTGCCTTCGGCTCAGGTCATGATCCCAGGGTCCTGGCATCAAGCCCAGGGGCTCCCTGCTCAGCGGGCGGTCTGCTTCTCCCTCTCCCTCTGCCCTTCCCCCCACTTGTGCGCTTGCACTCTCTTTCAAATAAATAAATAAAATCTTTTTAAAAATAAATAAAAATGAGAAAACTGACACCCAAATGGATTACGTTACGTGCCCGATTTTATCTTTCCCCTGGGTGACTTCAGCTTAGGGAATTGTGCTTTTTCATCTAGAATCTATGGAGAAAAGATCATTTATTCCTCTAAGTCCTATTGGTTTAGGTGTCTTGCCACCATTTCACGGGAATATGAAAATTCATGTTACGTCCATCATTGCCAGAGAGCTGAGAAACCGCGCCCTATCCAGGGAAACCCAACTTGGCAAATGGAGGGCTGACAGTGCCCCACACCGCCCAGACCCCTTGCTTTTATTCCCGAGCGGCACCGCTTTCTTTTCCCAGGCGTGTTCCACATTCGGGGAAAATCGCTTTCTCTCCCTGGGCCAGGAAGCTTGTGGAAAAGTCATTACGCCTGAAAAGAAAGTGCTGCGGCTTCTCTCTCCCTCCCCAGACTTCCTCACCCCCAATCTCCTCGATACCCTGACTGTGAACTTACTGCGCCTTGGACAGGAAATTAGAGAAGGCGCTTCAGCTGCTCTGGAAACAAGTTCTCTGACTCATGCCCGAGATCAGTAATAAAACTACCTGTTCTAGGAAACTGGCACTGGTGATGGCCTCCTCCATGTGCTCCTCATCGGACTTGAGAACAGATTTAATGTTCTCCACAAGCTCGTGGATGTCTGGGGTCATACTGCAGGACGACTGCTCCAGGAACCTCGCCACCAGCAGTTTGGTGTCCATGTAGGACTTGTAATCTATCAGGGACCGAGGCCGGCATCGCGAAGCTCTGCACCTCAAACCTCTCCTCAAGGTCACCGTGGCCAGATCTGGTCTTCCCTCGGTCTGCGTTGCGGCTTCGCAGCTGAGCACAGGGACAGCTGTGGGCAGAGACAAACAATACGTGCCCGTTGGCCACGCCCCTGTGAGCACACGCCCGGACCCGAGACAGCACGGGCCGCGGAACTTGGCGTGGAAAGCAGGTTGCAAATGCCAACGACCATGCACATCTTGCTTTTCATCTCACAGAAGGAAAAGGGGGGGGGCGAACAAAACCAAAAACCAGAAAACAATGACACAAGCTCATTCCCTGAAGTTCTGATAGGACGTGTCCCCAGAACATTTCGTTGTGCCACATAAAACATAATCACCAAGGAGGAGACAGATGGCAGGGAAGAGCATCAAGAATGCAGCACCAGTGCCGTGGGGCAATGACCAGTGAGTGGGGGGGCGGAGCAGAAAAAAGAAGGACCTGATGAGAGAATGCTCCAAGGGCGAGGATGGAGGAGCCCCTTCAAGAGAGAGGCTGAGGAGGGACAAGACGGCGGGACGAATGGAGTGCTCCACCCCCTCTGACTGTACCTTTGTCCTAAACATCCTCAGGGCATGGTGCCGACTTATCCACGCTCACACCATGGCTGTGAGGCAGCTCTAGGGCTGACTATTAACAGAAAGAAAACACCAGGTGCGGAAAAATCACACGTCGTTCCAGAAGTCAACAGCAGCCTGCGAGATCCCCCGCCACAGGCTCTCACGTCCACAGCTATCGGCATCAGAAGGGCTTGAGGACCGGCAGGACAGGACCGCACCACCCAGTGGGGGAAGGGGCATGCAGGCCCCGTGTCCGCATGTTCGGAAGCCAGCCAGCAACCTTCGGCGTGCACGACCCTGGAGGTTTCAGTCTGTGCCGGCCTGACAAGCAAGCGGGAATCTGATATTCAAGGAAGAAAGGAAGCAGAGGGCGAGAGGGCAGGTGGAGGGAGGGGAGCACCCCTTTTCCTCGGGAGAAAGGTTGGCGCTCTAAACCGGGGTTAGCGGCCACCCTCCAGGAGGCCACGTGCATGTCACCGAGAGCCGGCGTTTTCCAGGAGGGCTCCCTGCAGACGCTCGTGTGTGAGGACAGTCAGGGACTACAGTCAGTCACTGGAAGGCAGTCTGGGCCGTCTACAGCAGAGGACTCCAACGCTGTAGGTGAACACACGTCTCCTCCCCCCCCCGCAGCACCGCAGATCTGGGAGGATCTCACTAGGCTGTGCAGAGAGCCAAGTTCCTCTTAATGCTGGCGAGTGGCCAGCTCGAGTCCTCAACCTGCCAGGTCGGGTGGTAGAGACCCGCCGTGAAATGGGCCTGGGGAGCTGAGGGGCCGGGCTGCCGGCCTGGGGGTTTGCAGAGGCGCTCAGTCCCAGGCAGTGGGACTCCTCCCGGCTCAGAAGACAAGAGGAGTGTTCTCTCTGGCTCGCACACGGTCAGTCCAGGGCTGCAGCGAACAACACAGGACGTCAGAGGGACAGAACCAAGACTGCAGTGGGGTGACCCGGGGCCCCAGGGAGAGCAAGGTGAGAGCATTTGCAAAGCCGTATTTGCACAGAGCTTGAGGAGCGCAGAGGCCCTGCTTCCTGGCCAGAGGTCACCGGAAGAAGCCTGGGCGGCGGGATTAGAGATTTTCATTTTCTCCCTTTCTTTCCTTTATTTTATTTTTACAGTTTTCCACCGTGCAGAGCTATTTGGAGATGTTCAGGTATTCACATATTCAGAAAAAGGACTCAATGCTATTTTAAGTCTTTAACATGTTTTAAATTTAAAATTATTTCAATGACATCTGTAACAAACTTCACACAGAAAGGGAGAGCATGGGAGTGTGAGTTTCACTCTATCTAAAACTTCTTAAAACAGGTCAGATTCAAACAACTCAACTACGCGTTCAAAGTAAAAAAAAAAAAAAAAGATAGGTCATAAGAGAGGGGGTAAAAAAAAATATATACCCCTTGAACTTTTTCCTTGAGAACGTTTATTTCCATAAGACTGTGAGCACCCAGAAACCAGAACGTCGTTTGCATTTTCTTCATTTCATACCTCAAACACTACCATGTGCAACCAAATGCTTTTGCTGACAATGACTTCAAAAGAAAAAACTCTACCAGCCTTAAATGTGACAGGTGAATATTCCTAATGTGCGTGAGAATATTGTATTTTCCCAAGACCTCTTAACCTCTCTCAAGACATCTCTCAAGCTGCAGGGCGGTGGGTGGCCAGAGGCACCCGCATTCACCTGGCCGCCTTGGGGCAAACATGCACAGTGCTGTGCAAGAGGCTTTGGGAGTGACATCACCTCTCTCCGCGGAATGATGGAGCACAGGGTCACTCCTCGATCTTGTCCTCAGGGCTGGGAAGACTCTCCGGCTTCCCGTGGGAGGCAGCTGGTTTGCATCGGGAGTTGAGATAGATGTGCTTTCTTCTCTGGGTGTGTTAGGAATGTCCTCACCTGATTTTTTTTTTTTTTTTAAAGAAGAGAAACATAAATTATTTCACCAGCTGCTGCCTTCAAAATGTTGGGCAGGAAAGCGCCCGTGAGCCCAAACCTTCAGGGGCAGGGGAACAGAGTTAACCACATTTGCTTAGGCTGTTGGCCAGTGAGCTTTTATTTCCCAGCACCACGGGAAACGCTTCCTCTCCAAACCACCCCTCCACACCTAAAACAAGCCAACAAAAAATTGTAAGTCCAAGAGTAAAATCAAGAAGCCCTTGCAAGTGTCAGGTGGTTTTTTTGTTTTGTTTTTTTCTGCAAGTGCTTAGAATCTTCTCCAGGGAAGCGTCCTGGTGCAGCACTAGAAAGTTCCTAGTGGCTTTCCAGTTTTTGGCAATGCAAGGTGAGCCTGGGGGTGTGGGGGGGGGTGGGAAGAAATGCCTGCCCAGCTCTGGCAACTTCCCTGAGGGCTGCAGATCATGAATGCAGGCAGTGGAAGCATCCACATGGCCCAGGGTACAGGCCGGGCTGTGAAAGGCTTGATGGCCACAGGAAAGAGCCAGTGGCCACCTCGTGGATGGGGAGAACCACTCAAGAAACGGATGACTTCTGCTCAGGACAACCACATCATGTCATCGGCGAGCCTGAGTGTGGTCTGGGAAACTTTAAGAAATGGGAGAAGCACAAACATACTTAGGGAAGAGAGCACTTCTGCATTATTCTAATCTGGAAGGTGAACGGAACAGAAACTCATTCCAAATGGTGCTGCTGAAAAGTCACCCCCATCGAAAATAGCTGGAGAATTGATCCATTATTTATCACCCCTGCCATTTTGTGCTGGTGGACAGTTCTCCAGGCCATTTCAAACCTCTCCAAAGACAAAGAGCTGCAATCATGATCCCTTGAATGACAAGGATAACTGCAAACTGACTCTTGTTTTTCGAGGCAGGACGGAAAATCAGCGTTCACTACACGTGAAGGCAGCATGACCTGGACCCAAGGTTATAAATGACAGCGCAATCTCACAGCAAATCATCCTGCCATAGACAAAACTCTTTTTTTCCCTTTAAAAGGGCCCATCTTATTTTAACAGGAGAAAAAATCTTAGGTGGGAAAACACATTAAACTCTCTAATCCATTTCACAGGTCCCTGAGAAGGGTCTGGTGACTCATAAAAGATTCTGAGGATATTTTTATTTCTGTTCACATAGTTATCTCCTACTTGCCAATTGTTGACAGTATTTTTATACCTGGAAAGAAGGATGTAATTTGTGGGGTTTTTTAAAGATTTTTAAAATTTATTTATTTGAGAGAGAGTGTGCGTGCATCAGTGGGGGAGGGGCAGAGGGAGAGGAAGAAGCAGACTCTCCGCTGAGCAGGAAACCTGACGCAGGGCTCGATCCCAGGACCCTGGGATCATGACGTGAGCTAAACACAGACGTTCACTGACTGAGCCACCCAGGTGTCCCAAGAAGGATGCAATTTGAACCACTGGCTTCAAGATATCTGACCTCCAACAAAATATCATATAGGTCATTATTTCATGATGTCTTACTTGATGGAATCCTGAGTTTGGGCAGCAATCGTGTATTTATTACCTTGAGTCAGCGGTATGCAGATCGGTTCCAAGGGGCTCGTGGCATCTTCTAATCCTTCTGGCATGTGGAATGAAGGTCCCTACATCACAGGAGAAAAGAGGGTTATTTGTTGATATTCAGCTCATCCCCCACCTGGACTCCACTGAACCTAGAAGCATGTTCAAGGCCCCGTGTCCCACTGTTCTCTGCACACCAGGCTGCTTTTCCTACCAGCAGTCAACATACCAATGAGAAACCATGGACCATACCTGCTCCTGGTCTGTCTGGCTCACCACAGCTTCATAGGGAGGCGGGGGGTCCAGGGGACAGAACACTTCCACACCTTTGATTCGTGCTCCATAGATATGTGGGAGGGGAATAACATCAGGACCAACCATCCTAGGAAAAGCATCTTGGCATCAGGAAGCACAGTCTACAGACTTCTCATCTGACGTACTTGCTTCTGCATGATGATGGCCTTTACCTCAGGCCGGTTATCCGCTGACAGAGCAGAAGACCCCTCACCCTTCCAAGACAGTCTTTTGGCCCAGAAGCTGGGGGGGATAATCTCAGCTGGTGGAGTGCCCAGAGTTTCTTAGGCAAGTGACAACGTATAAAATGCAATACCATCATTTCTTTTACATCCACGAGCCAAAAAGCAAGCAATCATCCACAAAGACAGAAAGCAGAGTAGTGGTTGCCGGGGGCTGGGGCCTGGGGAGTGACTGCTGAATGGGTACGGATCACCCTGGAGGTGATGAACATGCTGCAAAACCAGATGGGGGTGGAGGTTGCACAGTACCTCGATTGTACCAAATCCCACTCAACAGTACGCTTTCAAATGGTTCAACTCATGTTATGTCAACTTCACCTCAATGAAAGAAAAAACAAAACCAGGGACTTGGGGCAACTCAATTATTTCTTACATTAGTACATGACAAAATTCTTGCCTGCGTTTCCCTAATGTCTGATTCATGGTAGAAACTCCCTATTTGTTAAATAAATATTTGAAGGTCTGAATTACTTTTTTCCAGGAAAGTGAACATCACAGCTCAAAGACAAAGCAGGATGAATCACAGAGTGACCCTTCCTAAATATAGTCAGTCAACAAACACTGGCTGAGCACTGCCTTCATGCCAGGCACTGGGGCTTTTGTCCTGTGAGTGGGAGACCCTCCATAGCAAATAAATAAACAAACCTCAAGATTTTCTGCCTGTGTTCATAGAAAACTCACACAAATAATCTAGATAATAAAGAGCCTAAATTGTAAAACAATAGTTTAAAATATACAGAAACTTGTTCCTTTTGACCAAACTTCCAGTTATAAAATAAATAAGTCCCGGGGGATGTAATATACAGCATGGTGACTACAGTTAATAATACTGTATTCCCGGGGCGCCTGGGTGGCTCAGTCATTGGGCGTCTGCCTTCGGCTCAGGTCATGGTCCCAGGGTCCTGGGATCGAGCCCCGCATCAGGCTCCCTGCTCCTTGGGAGCCTGCTTCTCCCTCTCCTGCTCCCCCTGCTTGTGTTCCTCTCTCGCTGTGTCTCTGTCAAATACATACATACATACATACATAATACTGTATTCCCTATTTGAAAGTTGCTAAGAGAGTAAACCCTAAAAGTTTTCATCACGAGAAAAACAATCCCGTAACGTTGTGTGGTGATGGATGTTAACTAGACTTGCGGGTGGCGATCACTCCACAATATACACAAATATGGAATCATTATGCCATACACCAGAAGCTAATAGAACGTTCTAGGTCAATTATATCCCATTTTAAAAAGATATAAGGAAGACCAGAAAACCTGAAATCAGGCCGTGGAGTATTGGAGAATTGAAACTGGAGAATGAAAATAAGAGGTAAGAGCAAAAGTTTAATGCCCATTCTCCAAATATGAAAATGGACATAAGCTGAAGGAGACAAGTGAAAGATTCTGGGCCAGCAGCACACAAGGGCTGCTTTTTTTTAGAAAGGGGCTCTGTGGATTCATGGTTGTTTCATTTAATTCCTGTGCCTGTTTAAAAAAAATGCAAATGGTGGAGGAAAAAAAGTTGAAAACGATGCGATGCTCTGTATTTCCTAGCAGTAAAACCGTGGACGAGGGGACTTGCTTTACTCGGTGAGCCCTAGGGACTCCTTCTGTCCTCTGCAGAGGGCCAGTCTTCAGCCCCGAGTTAGCATGACCCCATGAGCCATCTTCCCAGCACTCACAAATCCCCTGGCTTCCCCTCTCAGCCAGCTCCCCTCATCTCTCCACTGCTGTGTCCTCCCCAGGAAAGCAAATACCCCCGGCTTTGCCTGTTGGTTTGTTAGCTCTGGTGGTCCTTGACATTCCGCACCCAATGGCTATGTTCACAGAGAAGAGAGGGTTTGCTTGGGGCCCGGAGGTCAGGGGAACAGACTTCCATTTTAGATCTCACACGACCATGGAATCCCTTTAAGAAGGGGGAGAGGGAAGGGGATACATTTTCTTTAAATCGACCCACAATGAACGACTTCTTATGGTGGTAATTATAATGACCAAGAAAGCCTCCGTGTGACAGAAGGTGCTTCTAGGAAAAAAAGGAAGGTTCCTTTCCTATGAAGCAGTTCTCCTTATTTCATATCTTTTGGGTACAAAGGGATCTGTCGGGGGAAACAGGTGCGCTATGCCCTGGCAGGTATTTTCCTGATCCCTTATGGCCCCCAACCCTAGCTAGGGAGTAGAATCACCTGGGGAGGTTTGCAGACTATGGGAGGCCTAGGCCTTGTCTCTAGAAATTCTGCTCTAACTGCCTGTGGTGGGACCCACACAGATAAGAGATTTTGATCTCCTAAAAATCAGCTAAGTGGCCGTGGGGGGCTGCCGCGCAGGGCTGTACTGGGCACGGAGTCACCCACAAGCAGAGCCTGGCACCACTTGAGTTTGGGTTCTGAACTTCATGAGGAAAAGGAGTGAGTTTACTATGTTCACCACTGAGGAATAAATGCCTGTGTTCAATTTTCCATCACGTTCCGTGCTCTGTCACACATTACGTCCCGTGGTACAACCAGGTCCCCGATTACAAAATAGGTGGGATGCTCCCCTTTTTGATCCCAGCTCCAACCAATTTCTGAGGATGGGGGTTGGGGGGAGGCTCCCTAGGGTCGTGGAGGAGGAGTGCACAGCCTCAACTGTCCTTACAAATCAAGTCACGAGTCAGAAACCCATCTTTGGATGGAAACCTTCACTGCAATCATGTTTCTGTTTATGGCAGTAATTTGAGAAGTCCTTTCTCAAGGAGGGACCAATGCATGAAGTGGTTGTATTTATAGAAGGCAAATAAATAAAGCCTTCTGAGAGGTCATAATACCTTGCAGGAAGTGGGGAGCTTGCATTGTGTGAAAACTCTTCACGTACCCGGTTGTGGAAATATTAAAGAAAACATTGTTACTATTCTTGCCTGCCTGCTTCTAAGAAAGAAAATCACCAGTTGGGGTCAAACAGTGTCTATAAAATGGATATATAAGAATCTAGCAGGGGCGCCTGGGTGGCTCAGTCGTTGGGCGTCTGCCTTCGGCTCGGGTCGTGATCCCAGGGTCCTGGGATGGAGCCCCATGTCGGGCTTCCTGCTCCACAGGAAGCCTGCTTCTCCCTCTCCTGCTCCCCCTGCTTGTGCTCCCTCTCTCGCTGTGTCTCTCTCTGTCAAATAAATAAATAAAATCTTTAGAAAAAAAAAGAATCTAGCAAAGTCGGTCAAATGCAAAAATACCTTTGATACAATATGTATCTAAAAGTGAATAAATGTAGCCATTTAACAAGTAAAGTGGACCGCCCTCTAGTATTGGGAGAATTTCAGAAAATGAGGCTGTTTGCCCATTGGAGATATGATCCAGGCCTCCAGGTATATACTTTAGGCCTAGCAGTGTCTCCTTTCCCACAAGGATGTATTACTTTAACACCCTTCCCCATGTTCATTCCGGAAAGTTCTGAATGATAAAGCCCTTGGTGAGAAGCTTGTCTGGATTCGGTGAGGGGCAGTCTTGGGACTCAGAGGAGCGAATTCAGGGATGCACCCACATCCCAAAGAGTGGAAATACCCACACTGATAAGCATTACTATGGAGGAACCGAAAAGAGAAACGGAAGAGAGAAGGGCAGGCGGGGGAGGGGCGGTCTACAGGACAGTAAGACTCCTACACCCGCATGAGTCACTTTCCCTTTCTGCCACTGCAGGAAATTAAATCTGTCTGTTGCCTCCTCTTAGGTCAACCAAGGGCTCACCTACAATCTCAGAGAGCCACTTAATTCTTCTCCAAGACGGCATTTCTCTTCCCAACCACGAAATAACAGGCTTTTTTTTTTTTTTTTTTTTTTTTTTTTTACTGCCTTCCAACATGGCCCTCTACACACAGCCGGAGACTGGGCTAAGGTATGAACAAATGTGTCCTTTGGTGCACAAAGACTATGTCTCTCTGGCCCCTGTAATTCTTGCCTCATTCCCTAATACGCTACAAAAGTCATCCTAGCCCCCCAAGCTTCAAAATTCCAGTACACCACCCCCTGAACGACAGGGAGGCTGAATTTCCCCGTGCAACCACGGGCGCCCCTCCAGCTTTGTGGCCATCTCGAGCTCCCCTTAGGTGGGTGAGGAGGGGAGGGTGTGGAGATGGGGTGTAGGCATGACTCTGAGCAACAGGTCGGGAGGTTACCCATGGAAAAGAACGTTAACAGTGTCTGGGCGGTAGCTCCCACTGGTGACCTGCTTCAAAGCCACATGTGGCCGTCCTGAGCATTAGCAAGAGGATTTCCAAAAACCCCAAGGCTGCCACCACATTTGTCTGACAACTCTCCACGTATACCTTGGGGATTAAAAGTAGAAATTCCTGGCCCTCTTAATCTCAAGCTAAAGACACGAGTCTCTCTTCCAGAATTCAGAGACTTTCTTTTGGAAGCTTAAATATGGTTTGCTGATCCTTGAAATTTGGCTTAAGATCACTTCACCCACAAAGCCAACCCTGACTGGCTGACTCTTCCTTCAAAGCTCTCTGCAGCCCATTCACCATCCTGGGTTAGGTGGTCCTCCTCGGTGCACTCAAAATCTCTTCTTTTGAGAATTATTATGATCCTTGCAACACTCAGCTGTAATGACCCAGACTGCGAGCTCCTTGAGAGGGGAAGGAGGCGGGTCTAAGTCATTTGAATGTCACCAACCCTGGGGGACGGGGTTGAATAGTAAGCAGCAGAGGACTGATTAAATGTTTGTCGAATGAATAAACGAAGTCATTCTTTAGAGAGGTACAATTCTAGAAGTCCATAACAACCAGACGAACGCATGCATCATTTCCTTCTGTGGATAGTCATTTCTGAGATTTAAGAAACAAACGATAAATTTTGAGCTAGAATTTGAAAAAGGAAACCAGCGTGGTGTCTATTTTTTCTAGACCAGGGAGAAGTCATGAATAATTAATCTCTTTTTAATGGCTTGGAAGAATGTCATGATTTGGGGCCCTGCTGATGGTGTTATAATGAACATCAATTTGGCCTGAGCGTGTTTCCTGGGCAACCGCAGCTCTCAGTCAAGTCACATGACAGCGACTGTCTCACTGGGTGTCAGTTTTCCTGGGAAGCTAATTGAAATGGAAAAAGTATATCCTTAGTTCAAGGTGGGACTTTTCTTTGGTTTCAGCCGTTTATCAGACAAAACAGCAGGGTGGGGAAGAGGGATAGAAAATCCTGAAAAGGGGAGCCTAGCTGGCTCAGTGGGCACAGTGTACGAGGCTTGATCTCAGGGTCTTGAGTTCAAGCCCCACACTGGGCGTGGAGCCTACTTCAAAAAGGAAGAAAGAAAGAAAAAGAAAAAGAAAAAATCCTGAAAAGTAACACCATCTGTCTAGATTTTGGAGAGAAGTAAGCTCACGCTATAGGTCCTGGAAACCTTTCAGTCTTCCAAACCGAGGCCACCTCACAGATGGCGGGGGCACTCAGGAAGGCTACCTGCGGTTCATCCGGGGCGTGCACGAGTAAAATGTGGCGAAATAGGAGGGGGGCGGCACTGGCGGCACGAAGTCATCAGGGTCTGGGATCCGTCCGTGTTCTTCCACTTCTTCGGCAGAAATCTGGGATTCGTCCTAATGAAACAAGCACCTTGGTTAGTCAACAGCCTTCATGACAAAGGCTCCGTGGGCCACAGTCATGGTGCCACCTTGTATGGACTTACGATGCAGGGTCTTCTGGCTGCAAATATCTGGAGGTAGCGAAGGGCAGCTGCTGCCAAGCAGACGGTGGTGGTCAGGGCGTTCAAGGCACACAGGGCAAAAAGAACTTTCTAGAACAAGGAAACAGTAACACCACTGAGCACGTCAAAGCTGATGACCAGGGGCGCCTGGGTGGCTCACTGGTTAAGCGTCTGCCTTCAGCTCAGGTCATGATCCCAGGGTCCTGGGATGGAGCCCCGCGTTGGGCTCCCTGCTCCGCGGGAAGCCTGCTTCTCCCTCTCCCACTCCCCCTGCTTGTGTTCCCTCTCTCGCTGTGTCTCTCTCTCTCAAACAAATAAATAAATGAAATCTTAAAAAAAAAAAAGCTGCACAAAGACTATGTCTCTCTGGCCCCTGTAATTCTTGCCTCATTCCCTAATACGCTACAAAAGTCATCCTAGCCCCCCAAGCTTCAAAATTCCAGTACACCACCCCCTGATCCTGGAGTCCCAGGATCGAGTCCCACATCGGGCTCCCTGCTCGGCGGGGTCTGCTTCTCCCTCTGACCCTCTTCCCTCTCGTGCTTTCTATCTCTCATTCTCTCTCTCTCTCAAATAAATAAATAAAATCTTAAAAAAAATAATAATTATTAATAAAGATGTCACAATAAAGCAATTCTTGTGGGAAGATAGATGCGAAGGACTTTGATGTCTGGCTCGTGGTAAGTGCCAAATAAATACTGGTTATTAATATGGCTCTCATGCAGTCATATAAGCATTTTAAAAAACTTATCTTAGAGGCTTCCTGTCCCAGAAAGCCCTGGTATTACAAGTTTTCTTTTTGCCAGCATCAGAACATTGTCTGGAAATGTTCCTTCCAGAAGAGCAATGAGCGTCTCTTCTGAAGTTGGTGTCCCCAGTGATAGCAATTCCAGCCTCCTACTGGGGACGGCCTGCTGTTTTATCTGTGGCAACTGATTCTATTTTGGGAGCGATTGGCAGAGCTCCCCTGGGCACCCAGCTACGACAGCGCGGGGGGGGCAGGCCAGCCAGAGCATAAAGAGGGCATCTCTTCTCCAAACCCACGTCTCAAAATAGCCATAAGGGCAATTCCAAAAGTTTCTTTTGCCACAGTCCTGGCTCCTTAGCGAGGCTTTCCCCAAGAGGGGTCTTGGCTCAAAGTTTGGGGGTGACTCAGCTACCAAAAATCCAGAAGCCAAAGATAGAAGGCCACTTTTACATTCTCAGAGAGCTGGCAGCGGAGAGACTCCTCCTTCGAACAAAAAAACAAACCCAAAACAAAGACCTGAAGAAAGCCCTCGGCGAGGAATTATCCAAGAACTAATACCTCACGGTTCACCAACTGATCTTGTCACTCACTGGGCTAATGAGCCCCCGTGAGTCAGGACTCAACTTTTATCCAAGTCCCTAATAAAGGGTAATTTTGTACTTCTCTGCAACTGGTGTCGTTTATTTTTAATCTCTCACTCATTCTAGTCGCTGCCTATGAAACAAGAGGTAAGGTGCATGAATGTCCCTTGCATTTTCTAACCGATTATCTGTCCTAAGCCTCTGTGTCCTGGCTCGGCAGCACCCAACAGCCCACGGGACTCACTGAAACTGACAAAGGAGCATCAGAACAAGGACAAATGGGCAGGCAGTTGAAAGGTTTTGCCCAAAGCAGGGGTGCCTGGCTGGCTCAGTTGGTGGAGCATGCAACTCTTAATCTCAGGCTCCTGAGTTCAAGCCCCACGTGGGTGGAAAGCCTACTTTAAATAAAAAAAGTTAAGGTTTTGCTAAAAGCTGCATCATCTATGTGTAGCTACATTGTGCGTGTGTATGGATGGATATACATGTATATAAATATATATACACACATATATGTATGCGTTTAGACTCCTTTCCATTTTTTGCTATCTTGTAACTCTTGAACACAAAGAAAGCCATCCATTCATTACTTAAGAGACACACAATCTGTGCTTCTTCCTGAAGTCACTCCTGTCTCTGGGTCACTGATGAGGGTTGGCTCCTATGTGCAGCCCAATTGATTGAGGGAGGTAACAGAGTAAGGATACTTCAAGTAACTTTGCCTTCTTTGAGGGCTCTCTAGTGTATTTACTGATGGGGGTGGGATCCGCTCAAGGTACCTTAAGTAGAAGGTGAACAGCACTACAAGACTGAACCGGAAAGAGTTTCAAGGCATTTTCTTTGTCCGTGCATTTGGCTGGTTGAAATTCTTCACAACAGAAGCAAATCTTTCCTTCGCCTAAGTCCACCTTAAGGGGAGAAAGGCAGAACCATAATTTCATTATTGAGAATAAATATGCAGGCTACATATTGGAGCACCAATCCTACAGAATGAGATATGGTGGTGTCTGGATCCATCAGGATAGGCTAGGGTATGCTGTGGAGGAGAAGGTTATTTCTTGAATATGCGAATGCCCACTGTAGGTCAGCAGGGTGCTCTGCTCATCTTAGTCCATTAGGAACCCAGGTTGATGAAGCACACACCATTTTAGGATTAATGATCACTGTGCCAGAGAGGTGGAGAGCACATGATAAAATGCACGTTGGCACTTAAAGTAGGGTTGCTGGATAAAATATGGGACACCCAGTTAAAAAACTATTTGCTGTTTATTTGAAATTCAGATTTAATTGGGTGTCCTGTGTTTTTACTTGCTAAATCTCGTAACTCTAGCTTAAATCTTCCTCTTGCAAATGACCCTCATCGCTTTAGCTCACAATTGCCAAAGTGAATCTTACAGCCCTATCTAACTCCAAGAGGGCAAGGAAGTTCAAGCTACCATGTGCCCGTGAGAAACACAGGGTATATTTGGTGAACAGTAGCCCTAAACCATGTAGGCTTAAGGAGATCCCTCAGTTTGACATCTTCAATGTGGTCACAGATTTGAAGTGATAATATCAGTGATGAGTAATCTCTTACTTGTAGTGAAATGTTTTGCAAACTTGCAACCACTTTTCGAAGTCTCCCTTGACTCAAGTTGTGAGAATATGCAACAACTGGTTTTGGCTAATTAAGACCCATAATTTGGGAGCAGAGGTTCATTCTTACTTGCTTTGCCTCTTGAATTGTTGAAGTTGGTTATTCTATTTTGGTTAAAAGGGAAAGCCATGCCTTTGTCATACTTGTTAAGTAGGCAGTTTTGACGGCACTTGCTGCAAAATTCTTCAGGAATCTTTAAGAATAACTGAACGTCTACAGTGTTAGAGTTACTTAAGAGAGAAGGGTCTTTTTTCTTATTGAATTAAGATTCTTACCTTCTAACCACACTTACTCTCTAGTTACCCTCTAGTAACAAATTTATGGTATTTTTCCAGATTAAGAGAAAATACAGTTCCTTATTACATAAGTTGATTAGGAAGCAAAGGGAAAAATTTCCGCTAAAGATTACATATTTTCTTTGGATGTGAAACTTACATACACACACACAAAATTTACATACACAAATCTTAAGCATACCATTTGCAGAATTTTAAGCAATGCACCCCGAACCCTTATCAACATACAGAACATAGCATCACCAGAGAAAATTCCATTGTGCCCTTCCCCATCAATCCCTGCCCTCCCACAAATACTTTTTTAATTTTTTCCACAAGGATTAGTTTTGCCTCTTCCAAAACTCCATGGATCCTATAACATTTTTTATTCTCCATCCCTAAACCACACTGAAAGGGGTGCAATATTATATCAAACACTGATGCCCAGATTTTGATATAAATTCTGCTTCTGATACAAAGAATTACAACAGCTAGAGTTACCTTGATGGACTCCATCTCCATCCATTCATTTCCACTTGGTTTCTGTCTTTTCCTGGTTTGCCCACAGAGACTGGTATCTCAACAATGTCCCCACACCTAGATCCACAATCCGACCCCCAGACACACACAAAAGCAAAAGACTGTCTGAGTCTGAATTTTTCTTCCACTGTCTCACTTTTTTGAGGGCACATCCTGCTGCTAAAATCTACACTAGAATTTTGCCTTCTAAAGGAAAACTACTGTGGCCATTCAGACAGGATTTCTCTAGGCAGGGTCTGAGGGGTGGGTATTTTATTTCCTCTCGGGGATCACTGGCTTTCTCTTAGCCCCTCTTCCATAAATTAATAATAGTCCTTACCCTGGGCTAAATTCAGCAGGTAAGTGTTACTCCTAATGGGCTTCTTCCTTTGAAGTCCAGCTGAGAACCCCCCTGATTTAATACTAACAGTACTATTTAGTAGTTACAAATAAGCAGCCATCAAGTTGCTCCATTCTGTTCATGTACGCAAGGCTCTCCTCTTCCCAAACACCAACCACGCTCACTTTTCTCAACACCATGCAGTGCAGGTTTCCATTTCTTGTACTTAGATAAGCTTCAAAATCTTACCTAAGGATTCTGCCTCCTGCAGGTAATATCCAGTGTCATCTTACAAAGTACTCCCCTCCCACTCGAGTCCATTCTTGGTAAAAGGTGTTCAGTAAAGAGAGAAAACAGGCCTGTGTGGGCCACACACACACAGCGGCATTATTTACACACAACCAGACTTGTATGTACCTGGAAACTTCATCTATCCGGAACTTCCGGGCTGAACTGGTCCGGATGCAGCAATTTTCCAGATGGGTGAAGGTTAATCTCTTTACACAAGGCTTTTGGAAAGTTTAATCATTGTCCAAATAAAAATGGGTATCAGTGGCTGTGCCCAGATGACACGGGAGCCCTGAGGCTCTGTACAAAATGGTGCCAGGCAATGGTGCGTTTTGGATTTCTTGTTCTTTCTGTTCCTGACCCTTCATCTCCCTTCTTAATCCCTTTCTGCAAAGTTATTCCAACTTCTCTTAGATCTCTTAACCATCCACAAACAACCTTGTCCAAGCCTCTACATGAAAATCATCCACCCTTCCACCCTGATACTATTCCCTGACACCACCATGCCCTCCCCGCCCTCTCCTCATCACCAGGATTATGGTTCTCAACACCGGCTGCTCATTAGCATCTTCTAGGAAGCTTTCAAAAAAAGGAGGACACCTTCTCTTGCAATGAGGGAACTGCAAGCTAACATAACAAGGAGCTCTCACACCAGCCCCATCAGACTGACAAACACTAGACAGAAATGCTTGCAGTTGGCAAAGGGTCACCGGTAGAAATACAAGTTGAACCTTTTAATAAAGGAACTGGCCATATATTTTTAAATCAAAGATACTTATTCCTCAGCCACTTTGGGAAACTGTTTAGCAGTTTCTTAAAGTTACACAGACCTACTTTTACCATGTGACTGAGCAAATCCCACACCTCTTTATTTACTCTAGAGAAATGAGAAGGGACCCACAAGAAAAACCACAACTCTACAAAAATGTTTACAAGAGCTCTGTTCATAATACCCCCAAACTGGAAACAATGGAAATGTCCATCAACATGAGAGTGGATTAAACAAAATGTGATATTTGTATACAGTGTATACAAATCCTGACGTGCAAAAAAAAAAAAAAGCAACTGACACAACACAAAATCATGGACAGATCTCAAAATTGTTGTGCTAAGCAAAATAAGACAGAGACAAAAAGGTACATACCCTATGACTCCATTTGGGTGAAATGCAAGAACAGGCAAAACTAATGTTCTAGATCTTGTTTGGGGTGTATACATGAGTGTGTTCATTTGTCAAGATGAATATATACATTGGTCAAAACTCAAGGAACTGCACACTTCAGGTCTGTGCATTTCACTGTAAATTTTACCTCCATTTAAAAAAACAGATAGCGTCACCAAAGGGTTGAACGTGGAATTTTTTTTTAAAAAATGAGACAAACAGAAGAAAAACTACACCTTCCCCACCAGGAACGATGTCCGACCTGGGAGCTTCCTCTGGCTGGCGAAAATTGGCCAGGGGGATGTGCAGGATGGTATGCGTGGCTACATTGTTTTTATCGGCCAAAACCCAAACCACCACAGACAACAAGGCAATAGAGAACTAGCTGTTCTAAACAAAGACGAGTGTTAAATCTGTAAGTGAAAAACACAGTATGTAGGGGAGTGGATACAATATGTGCCATTTTTGGAAAATAAATCACGATGAGGTCCACCCCCTACGTATTATGTGAGATAATCTGAACACATGGAGGGAGACCCCCCCAGCTTGTTAGCAGGAATTTGGGGTGACTAGCATGGTGGAGAGGGAATGAGGAAGAGTGTCCCCTCCCCCAAAAAGATTTCATTGGTCAAATAGCCTCCCTAATGAAAAACAACAATTATGATACGGTCCCACTGATGGAAATCGTGTGTTTTTATGCATATAAAGAGGTGCCCCAAAAATCCGCCAAACGGTTAACTGTGCTTACCCAGAAAAGTGAGATTTTTTTTTTAAGTTCTGTCCTATACTTTTATGACTTGCCCAAATTTTTACAGTTTTATAATCAAATACAATCACAGAATTGGTTTTGTGGTGGGGAGAAAAGGTTTAAATAAAAATACACTTAAAATATAAAAAGATACAGATGCCTAGACCCACCCCACCACCCCCCGCCAGGCCAACTGAGAATCTTTGGGAATGAGGCCCCAGTTAGGGGATTCTTTACAAAGTTCCCCCAGGTGAGTCTAATGGGCACCCAGGGTAGAGAACCACAGAATTTCTCAGGAAAGCCCATTAACTATACCCTTGACCCCTTGCAATCTGGCTTCTGCTTTTCCAAGAGCTACCAAGGCTCATTTCCCACCACTGCCCTCTGAGTACTCGCCTCTCTGGGGCTCTACCCACTCTCCTTATCTATTCATCATTCAAGGTCCATCTCAAATACCTATATTCCTTATCGTCCCCCGGATACAAGCCCTTCTTTCTCTGCATGTCCCGGGCGCCGTGTCTCACTTTGAGGCCAAACCCAGTGTATCTACCTGTATCTGGGCACATATTCATTCCCTCCACAAACACCACTCAAGCATCTGCTGTGTTTATCTGTTCCTCTTGCACATGATAAACTTCTAGGTCAGGAACGAGGTCTGACTTTCCTTTCTACTCTCTGCAGCCTCTAATCAGTGTCTTGACATAAGAGATGCTACAATTTCTCCAAACTGTCTTTCCAGATACTGGGACTTACCACTTTCAGCCTGTTTCTGGTCTCTTTGCCCCTTCTAATTTGCTGTGTGATTAGTAATTGGAAAACCAAGCTTGGTTCAACTTTTTTTCCCCCCTGGGAACTCTGTATGTGAAGGAGTGGGAGGCAGTGCAGGGGGACCATTGGGAACTCCCAAATTAATAGAGACGGTGACATTGCCCTTGGGGAGATCCCAGCTCAGAAGAACAGAGAAGACAGGTGTATGAATGTCTCTAGTCCAAAAAACGAAAAGGATAAATGCCTGAGAGAGGTACATATAAGACATTCTGGAAGATTATCTTTCCTGGGAGTTCAGGGACTGTTTCCTGAAGGAGGTAATCTTTGAATGGGTCTGTAAAGGACTGATATCATTTGGAGGAACAAGGACTGAGGGACAGGGAATTTGGGGGGAGAGGTGTTGTTAAAAGTATGAAACTAGGGCAATGCCAGGCAAGCTTTGGAGCAATGACAGGGTGAGCTGCCTCCGGGAGCGGGCAGGACAAGGGTGAACTCCAGAGGGCCTTAAAAACCAAAAAAGGCTGTGAGCCTGGGATCCTGTAACGTACGGTTAATAACCAATGGGGTGACAAAATCAGAAAACTTGTAAAGCAGTGTTAGAAAGAGCAATGGGTTTGTGGTGAGTCCCTGAGGAGTCTTCCTAATGGGGAAGGCGGGGGCTTTATCACAGCCAGGAAGGTGGGGGAGCTATTTAATATGGATAGAGTTTCAGTTTTGCAACAAGAAAAATGTTCTGGAGATTGGTTGCCCAACAACGTGAATGTACTTCAACTACTTAACTTCACTCTTAAAAATGAAGATAGCATATTTTATGCTACTACATGCATTTTACCACAGTCAAAAAATTAAAAGAAAATATTCGGAGATTGTGCAGGTCCATAACCTCTTAACGACAATTCTGAAATTCAAAAAGCCCCGAAAACCAGACGTTGTGATTACAACCTGCTGCCCCAGAGTCGAGTACCTACGCTATAGCGTAGGTAACGTATGCATCAGGTTTATCTTCTCAAAATCGGGGAAACTCTGAATGCTGAAACACAGCCAGCCTCCAGAGGTTTTGGAGAAAGGACGGCTGACCTGTACTCTGATCATCTCCGTTTTCCCTCTTCGGATGAGAGCAGACCGATACTGCTTGTGGACACCTGACCGGTCCATTCCCTAACTAACGATGTGCTACCTCACTGTGGTTCTGGGGCTCTGCTAGCTGGTCCCTGCTTTGGAAAAGAAATACCTGAAGTCGGTCAGGAGACGTGGGAAAACGAAACAAAGAGCAGGCTTCACTCGAGGGAGCTTGCCGGGCACACAGTGCGCGCACCCCTCCCACGTCCCCCGGGAAAGCCAGGGTCCGCGCAGGCGCACAGCGACGGTTTCGCACAACTTACCAGATCACACCTGGGCACGCTGGACACAAACTGGGCCCCCTGGCAGCCGAGGATAAATCCAGCTAGATTTAAGAGGACACACACCACAGACAGCAGCACAAAGAGATTCACCTGAAGTGGCAGGAAAAGAGGCCGTTATTAAAGACAATAGCTAAAATCAGAGTTTTGTCTGAGTAAAAAGAAAAAAAAAATTCATATTCTCTTCCTAGAGGGCACACATTAAAAAAAAAAAAAAAGTCCGAACCATGTTTTCAATGTACCAACCTTTTGTTCACATTGTAGAATTTTTAAACTGTGTTGAGGAAGACCACGGACTCTCAAGTCTTCTCAATAATTTCAAGTCCCTAATTTTTTTTCTCTCTTTGCATCTAAGGAAGTTCTGGCTCCCTCAGCGCTGATCTGTCCCTTGCATGAAGCCGTGGCCAGTTCCTCCTTGAGCCGTTGATATTTTTTTTTTCTGAGTTTTGCAGGGTCAATGATAAGTAGACAAATGGAGAATTCTAGCATGTAAGTGGAACCCAGGAAAATCAGAGCACTCAGAGCCCTTACTGGACAGAAGTGACAGTGTACAAGTAAAAACAAAGCTAAGTCTTTTCTCAGTTCCAAACAGTGTAGGTATTAAAGAATAAGTCCACAGTGATCTTCTATATATTTTTCTCCAAAGCTAAATGTTCCAAATGTTACACTAAATAATTCAGAATTAATGGAAATCAACCAAAAAGCCAGATTTTACTTAGTGCCAATAAGGGACTACTACAGCTTTTCAACTTGAGAACTATATTTATTATCAAAATCAAATCTTATCACAAATATAAAAGATTGGAGCTAATGATGATCAGCATTAGAACCAAGCATCAGTTCGGTAGCAAATGCCAGAGTTGGGTTGGTACGTGAGTTCGCATATGAACTCTAGTTTGGAAAGCTTGTTTTTTGTTGCTGGTATTCCAAGAAGCTTGAAAACATCTCCCCTAAACCCATGTAATGAGTCAATATTTAATATCACATGATGCCCCTCTCCCTAAGAGGAATTCTTTCTGCCTCTCCAGGAGTAGTAGGGCCTCGCTTCTCTCCTTGTTTTGTTAATCTGTAAAAGGACTATGCACTCTGTCATCAAATCTTGGGGGAAGTGCTGGCGAAGCTGCTGTGTTACTGTTTCTCCTGATTCGTCAGTGTCTGTAGGGCTTAACTGGATCAGCAGACAGCACAGCCCCCTTGAGCGCTATGTCAGTCATTATCATGTCAAAGCTTTGGTAAATGAGGACGCAAAATTGGCCAAATGAGGATGCAAAGCTGGCCAAGGACAGAACATGATCTTCTTACCTGCGCTGCTCCTATGCACTGGCAGCAGCTACTCAAAGAGACCTAACACATCTGGAGTCTTCACAACCAGCAACACATTGTTGTTACTATGGGGAAGTCTAACTTTCCTTTGAAAAGTATCTTTTCATGCAATACCGGATGCCTTGAAAAGAAAGTGTGGTTATAATCCTCAAGCCCACCAGCACATCATAAACCTTCGTAACTATGGGGCCCCCTGGGTGGCTCAGTCGGTTGAGCGCAACTCCCCGTTTCAGCTCAGGTCATGATCTCAGGGTCTTGAGATCAAGCCCCATGCGGGGCTCTGTGCTCAGCACAGAGTCTGTTTCTCCCCCTCCCTCTGCTCCTCCCCTGCGCTCTCTCTCTCTCTCTCAAATAAATAAATAAAATCTTTTAAAAATAAATAATAAATCTTCGTAACTAAAAATTAGGAGCATCAGATATAGAATGAGTGGGGGTTCATTACTTCCAGCACTGGTCCCCAAATCTCTTTATTAAAATCTTCAATCCAACTCATTAAATGACACTGTTAAGAAAACCAACAGGCAAGCCACAGACTGGGAGAAAATCTTTCATGCATATATTAAACAAAGAACCTTTATCCAGGATATAGAAATAACTCCTCAATTCAATAAAAAAAAAAAGACAACACAAAAAAATCGGACAAAAGACTTGAACAAGATATTTCACAAAGGAAGATATAGGAATGGTCAATAAGCCCATGAAAAATTACTCAAAATCATTAGTCATCACGAATGCAAATTAAAACCACAGTGAGATACCACTTCACATCAACTAGAATGGTTAAAATTAGGAAGAATGACAACATCAAGTGTTTGTGAGGATGAGGAGCACACAGACTCTCCCGCATTGCTTGTCTGAGTATAAAATGGTTCTGCCACTTCTTAAAAACTAAATATAAATCTTCCATGCCAAAGAATTCTAAATACATTGACTCTTATACAATGCAGGGCTGAGGGGTGCCAACCCCCAACCCCGGCATGCAGTGCAAAATCGGAGTATGACTTCTGACTGCCCATAAACTTAACTATTAATAGTCTATTATTGACCAGAAGCCTTGCCGATAACAGTCGATTAACACATATTTTGCATGTTATATGTATTATATACTATATTCTTACAATAAAGTAAGTTAGAGAAAAGAATGTATTACTAAGAAAATCATAAGGAAAAGAAAATATATTTACAATACTGTACTATATTTACTAGAAACAAAATCTGGGGCGCCTGGGTGGCTCAGTCGGTTGAGCGTCTGCCTTCGGCTTGGGTCATGATCCCAGAGTCCTGGGATGGAGCCCAGCATCTGGCTCCCTGCTGAGTGGGGAGTCTACTTCTCCCTCTCCCTCTGTGTGCTCTCTCTCTCTCTCTCTCTCTTTCTCTCAAATAAATAAATCTAAAAAAAAAAATAGAAAAAAGAAAAGATCTGCATTTAAATGGACCCATGCAGTTCAAATCCCTGTTGTTCAAAGGTCAACTGTGATTTATGGAGATACTCCACCCTTGACTCCCTACTTCTTAAGTATGGGTTGTACCAGGTGAGTTCCTTCCAAAGAACACAGTATAGAAAGGAGAGGGGGAGTAATCTTCCGGTGGAGAAACTTGACAAACTTGACATCAACCAGGGGATGATGTTTCCAAAAACATCACTGTTTCCAAAACTTCTCTAAAAAGGTTAATATCGCTGATAAGTCATGTGGACGGCGTGTACCCTTGATATGATGTGATGAAAATGGCATTTTACCTCTGTGTTCTTCCTCTACCAAACCGATGATAACCTCAGTCTAATCATAAGAAAAACATCAGACAATCCCAATTGAGGTCCATGCTGCAAAATACCTGACAAGTACTCCTCAAAATGGTCAAGGTCCTCAAAAACAAGGGAAGTCTGAAAAACTGTCACAGCCAAGTGGAGCCTAAAGAGACATGACAAGCAAACGTAATGTGGTCTCTTAGGCTGGAATAATGCACAGAAAAAGAACATTAGATATAAACTAAGAGAATCTGAAGAGTATGATTTTAGTTGATAATAATGTATCAATATTGGTTCGTTAGTTGTGACAAATGTACTACGTACTATATTAAGATGTCAATGATGGGGAAATAGTATGGCATATACAGAACCTCTCTTTATTATCTTTGAAATACTTCCGTAAATCTAAAATTATTCTACAGTAAAACGTGTATTTAAAAACTGCAAAAAAAAAAAAAAATCTGAATATACGCCTACCTTAAGACCTGCTATTCCACTCCTAGGAATAGACCCAGAGAAATAAGCGCGGTTACCCACAAAAAGACTTACAGAGAAATGTTTATAGCAGTTTTATGCATATTAGACCAAAAATGAAAATAACTCAAAATATCCAACAGCAGGAGAATAAGTAAACAAACTGTGGTATTTTCCGGGCACCTGGGTGGCTCAGTCGTCAAGCGTCTGCCTTCGGCTCAGGTCATGATCCCAGGGTCCTGGGATCGAGCCCCACTTCGGGCTCCCTGCTCAGCGGGAAGCCTGCTTCTCCCTCTCCCACTCCCCCTGCTTGTGTTCCCTCTCTTGCTGTGTCTCTCTCTGTCAAATAAATGAATAAAATCTTTAAAAAAAATTGTGGTATTTTCAAACAATGGAATACTTCCAGCAATACAAAGGAACACACTACTGATATACAACAACACAAAGAAGTTCAAAGACATTGAGTGAAGTAAGCCAGATATTATATGATTCCACTTACATGAAGTTCAAGAATAGACAAAAATAATCATGGTGACAGAAATCAGAAGAGTGGTGCCTACTTGGTGGGGGGAAGGGATTGGGAAGAAAGAAGAGAATTTTCTGAAATGATAGAAATGTTCCATATCTTGTTTGGGATGTTGGCTACATCGGTATATCCAACTCTCAAAACTTAGCTAACTGAACACTTTTCATCAGGGATTTATATAAATTATATTTACTATATTAAAAAGAAAGTAAGAAAGACAATTCTGAATCCATCTGCCAAGACAGGAGTGTGAGATCATACAATGAATGGGGTTATTTCTTGAATGTCAGAATAACAAACAGGCTGAGAGAACGCTCCAGAGATTAACTGCCTGGTAGATTTAGCTTCTCTCCCACACTGGATGGGCTGCCAATGAGAAGTCAAAGTCAGATCACCAGAACGCCAACCCCAGAATGAGGACACAGCCAAGGCACATAGGCGGTGTACAAAATCACCATGCACTGTCCCCCAAACTTATTCCTTCGTGTGGCTTTTTTATTACTATCATTAAAACTCTGGCCAAGCTTATTGGCTATTTGGTCATTTGAATTATTCTAGTGTAGACAACGGCAGCATGTATCAGATATGGGGGCTATTAGGATACCAACCATGTCTCCTTCAGAGGCTGGATCAGGTTCAATGGTGTACAATATTGGAGTTATAAGGGACCCACTTAGGATTTACAGGGACTTTCAGGATAGACCTCTCTGGCTTTAACCTAGTTAAAATCGTATAACTTCCAAGACCCAAATTTCCAACCCACTCATCACCAGGGGGTGTCATCCCAAACAGAAGGCAGTAAAACATCAGCTACTAAGGAGGAACATGATAGTCACAAAGTCCATTCAGCTCTATCAGCAAAGGGGAAGAATTTCTTACATTTTTTATATTGTCATCATTCTTGCCTTTAAAAAAATCATTGCAGGTGATCTGAATTTCTCTTTCTGACAAGCACCTGAATTTGGAATCAAGACACCTGGTTCAAAATGAGGCTTTCTCCCTTGTTTGCTGTGATATTTTAAG